TTTTAATACTAATAAAATTGGGATACTTTAAGTGCAATATTTTTTTGCTTGAATTAGTTATTTCATTAATTTTTATAAATGATTAGTCAATGTTATATATATGATAAATTTCCAGCTTGGGAATATAAGTCTTACGGAATTCAAAAATCTATAAAAATTTTCCATCCGCAACTTTTCAGCCAGTTTGACTTCCTTCCACTTGGGATGTACCAGACTATTACTTCCCTTAATAAAATGATTCATTTTAATAAATGTCAGATACAGGGTCGTTTTTCAAATTCAATTCAAATTCAAATTCAAAGTCAAATTTCTTTATTAGACCCCATTAAGTTTTACAGAATAATATTAGTATTAATAAATGTGTGTCTAAAGGGATCGCACCGCAGATTAAAAAGCAAATACAATGGCACAAAGTGCCAGAGTGGATGCGACCCCAAATACAAAATAGAAAGAAATAAATTATAGAAATAAACACAAAATTAAAATTATATAAAAAAAGTGAAAATATAATTTTATCAGGGATGAGCGGAGATAAGCAGAGAGGCATAATGAAACAGTGTAAAAACCGGAACAGCAACCAATGACGGGCATATCAGAAGAACAAGATCTCACAAATCAGTCGAAGAAATTATAATATTTACGAATTTAGTAAATGATTTTTAATTTGTTTTTTTATAATCTGTAAAGGATTGAAATTTAAAGTTATTAGAAATATTATTCCACAAATGTGGCGCTATGAAACTGAAAGATTTTTGGAAGTTAGCTGTTCGGTGTTGAGGAATTTTAAAATAATGCACTTGTCTAGTCGAATGATCATGGTCAACGTAGTGAAACAATGAGAACAAATAGAAGGCTGCTCTGTAGTAAATTCGATAAATGAATGTCATTAAATGAAATTGTGTCTGTTAGTCATGGATAAAATAGATAAATTTTTAAGATGTGGCGTTATATGATCTCTAAAAGGAATGTTAAAAAGAAAACCGTAGACACGAGTTTTGAAGTATTTGGATTTTCTAGAGAATCTAGCGTTTATGGATGTACCATAAACAACATCGCCATAATCAAATAAAGATAAAATAAGTGTGTCAACATAATTGATACTTAGTCTTTGATGGTATATATTTCTTAAGAGACGAAAAATTCTTCAACCGTCTTAAGAGACGAAAAAATTCTTCAACCGTATATAAGCAGCCTTTAATTTAGTATTTATATGTGCCTGAAAAACTTCGCATCAAAATAGACTCCAAGATTTTTTAGTCTCTGTAACAATGGGTATCGCAACATTATCTATATGGATATTCATGTTACCAGCCGTATTTGTAATTTTGTTTATATCACTACCAAATACTATAACACAAGATTTACCGGCATTTAATTTCAAATTATGATCCAGAGCATATTTATTAATTTTATTAAGATCGTCGTTAAAATTTAACTGAAATTGTGCCAAATTATTAGTATCTATTCTGCAATAAATTTGAGAATCATCTGCATATTGCTGCAATTTAGAAAACTGTAATTCCTTATTCATATCAGCTACGTATAGTTATATTTACTCTACAAATATCCCATAGCTCTATGAAATATATTGAATATAGGGATTATAATCATATTAACCAGGAAAATTTTATAAAAGATGCAATTATTTTACCTTGGGAAAATGTTTTTTATATAGCGGATATTAATATTAAAATAAAAACTCTATATAATTACATTTTTTATCTCCTCAATAAACATGCACCGTTGCAAAGGAAAAAAATTGCAGATAAACCATATTTACCCTGGATAACGGATAACATTAAATTATTAATCAAACTCCGTTGCAAAGGAAGAAAATCGCAGATAAACCATATTTTACCCTGAATGTACTGGATAACATTAAATTATTAATCAAACTTAGAGACAAAGCACATCAAAAATATTTAAAACAACGATCTGAAGCCAAATTACAACATTATCGTCAACTCAGGAATTTTACAAAACATGCTATAGTTAGAGAAAAAATTAGTTATTTTAAGAGTTTATCGGAAAAGACTGGTAAAGACTTCTGGAAAGATGCTAAACGACTTAAGTTAACATTTAAATCAAGTCCGGAAGTTCCTGAAAACTTAGCGGATGTAGATAAGCTTAATATTTTTTTTTCGAACTGTCAGAATTGCATTAATAGTGCATCAAATAAAAAAATTGATTTTTATAGACAAAATAGATATTTGAATTTGAATTTGAATTTGAATTTGAATTTGAATTTGAATTTAATTTGAATTTGAATTTGAATATGAATTTGAATTTGAATTTGAATTTGAATTTGAATTTGAATTTGAATTTGAATTTGAATTTGAATTTGAATTTGAATTTGAATTTGAATTTGAATTTGGTGAATTTGAATTTGAATTTGAATTTGAATTTGAATTTGAATTTGAATTTGAATTTTTAATTTTGAATTTGAATTTGAATTTGAATTTGAATTTGAATTTAATTTGAATTTAATTTGAATTTAATTTGAATTTGAATTTGAATTTGAATTTAATTTAATTTAATTTAATTTAAATTTGAATTTGAATTTGAATTTGAATTTGAATTTAATTTGAATTTGAATTTGAATTTGAATTTGAATTTGAATTTGAATTTGAATTTGAATTTGAATTTGAATATAACGAAAATAAAAGTGGCTCCTAGAATAGATCTCTGAGGAACCCCAGAAATCATAGGAATATAACTAGATTTTTGTTTTAAACTTCCCCGTTTCATGACAACACAATGTGATCTATCTTTTAAAAGGTTTTTTATCAATTCTAAAGAGCCGTCTGAAAATCCAAAATACTGTAATTTTGCTAGAAGCAATGAATGGTCTAGAGTATCAAATGCTTTACTAAAGTCTAGTTTTTATGTATGGAAACGGTAGATTATTAGGGAAAATATAGGAGGTGCCGCAAAAAGTTAGACAAAAGTTGTAGGATTTTTAAATATCTATCAGCGAGTATTGAATTTAAGTATACAGGGTCGTAAGGCCCTGTATTAAGTCGTGACACATCAAAGTTTAAATTTTTAAATAGAACCAATCTACCATATTTCAATTCTTCCTTCAATTCTAAGCAAAAATCGAAATACACAATGTACCTCTAAGCAACCGTTTCCGAGTTATTGACTTTTGAAAATATCACTTAAACAATTCGATTTAATTGGTTTCGATGTGTTTTGGTTTGATTTAATGATGTATTCTGCCGAAACTGTGATACTGTTGTAATGGGGTTTTAAATTTGTATTGGCTACTAGTAAATTTAAGTATACAGGGTCGGTCATAAATTTGTGACATATTAAACTTTATTTTTTATGAAACCTCCTGTATATTATTGCATATTTCAATTCTTCCTTCAATTTTAAACAATAATCGTAATACACAATGTACATAAATTGAAGAATTGAAATATTAAACGAAAATTTTGTTATTTCCAGACTTGCCCGATAAGTCCTGTTTTTTTTAAGTCAAATTTTCAAAAGTTAATAACTCGGAAACGGTTGGTATGAGGTACCTTGTAGCTCCGTCACGTTGGAACCCGGTTTCAAGTAAAGTTTTCGATTTTTGGCTTATATTAACTACAAACGATGCAATTGATTGTAGTAAATTCAATTTTTTTGTAGTACTAATAATTAGCCAGAAAAAGTAAGCAGTTGTGCGCAATGCAATAAAGAGAAAGAATATTGTTTTAACAAAGGTCTAAAAACCTTCAAAATCGTTTGTAATTTTATGTAGTAGCAAAAAAAATCAATAAAAGATTCTTGGAATTAGTGAATTATAGTAAAATTTGAAAATTAACATAGTTTGACATAATGTCTTTAGTTGTACCCAAACTACAAACGATTTTGAAGGTTTTTAGACCTTTGTTAAAACAATATTTTTTTTCTTTGTCACATTGCGCACAATTGTTTACTTTTTCTGGCTAATTATTAGTACTACAAAAAAATTGAATTTACTACAATCAATTGCATCGTTTGTAGTTTGGGTGCAACTAAAGACATTATGTCAAACTATGTTAATTTTCATATTTTACTATAATTCACTAATTCCAAGGATCTTTTATTGAATTTTTTTGCTACTACATAAAACTACAAACGATTTTGAAGGTTTTTAGACCTTTGGTAAAACAATATTTTTTCTCTTTATTACATTGCGCACAATTGTTTACTTTTTCTGGCTAATTATTAGTACTACAAAAAAATTGAATTTACTACAATCAATTGCATCGTTTGTAGTTTGGGTACAACTAAAAACATTATGTCAAACTATGTTAATTTTCATATTTTACTATAATTCACTAATTCCAAGGATCTTTTATTGAATTTTTTTGCTACTACATAAAACTACAAACGATTTTGAAGGTTTTTAGACCTTTGGTAAAACAATATTTTTTCTAAAAAATTGAATTTACTACAATTAATTGCATCGTTTGTAGTTAATAATAAGCCCAAAATCGAAAACTTTACTTGACAGCGGGTTCCAACGTGACGGAGCTGTACCTTATGTGTATTTCGATTTTTGCTTAGAATTGAAGGAAGAACCGAAATATGCAAAAATATACAGGGGGTTCCATTTAAAAAAATAAAACTTTGATGTGCCACGACTTTATGACCGACCCTGTATACTTAAATTTATTACCCGCTAATAGATATTTTTAAGCCCTATAACTTTAATATTTAACTTTTTGCGCTACCTCCTATATTTTACCTAATAATCGACCGTTTCCATACATAAAAGCGACCCTGTATTTATGTCTATGGAAATAAGTGGATTTTTTCTATTTTTATTTAGTTAGTGAAACCATCCGAAAATTTTAGCCGGACTCACAAATTGTCATTTATCCGAAAAATTGATTTTAACGAACAAACTTCACCCACTGGAAAAACAAGCACAAAAATCACTGCTTCCTGTACTTTTTAATTCATTATGGACTATATTTCCAATCAAAGGAAACCTTTTTCTCCTCTGTCTAAAACCCACTTACCTGATGACGGTCTCCACATCAAATCTGAGGTGATTCTCTTGATCCTGCTCCTGTTGCCATTCTTCAGTGATCTGTTGACGTCTATCAAGGTCTCAGACATCCTCCTAGACACAGTGGCGTTCTTGGCGAACAGACCGAACGGGGTAAGGCTGGGTCTACGTGAACCGCACGTGCTAGGGGTTCGTGCCTGTATCTCGTGGTTCACTTCGTTCTTCGTCTGCTTTTTTCTCCAGTAGTTCATGAAAGCTTTTCTTAGGCTCTTGTTCTTTAGGCCGTAAAGATAACCTGAAATGAAATAGAAGTATTGTTACGAAAATAACTTAAAGTGAGGAATGCTTTCCCTCGTTGAACCACTGTATTCAACCTCTTTACGCGATAGCTTGTTCATTCTAGAATTTCAAAACAGACAAGCATACTAAGGGCTGGCAAAGGTTAGTCTTGGGTCGAGATTTCCGTATGTATGAAGAGTACAATACGTTTATAATGTACTGACCAAAGAGGGAACAGTGAACACGTTGCCAAACGTATGAAATAAACGAATTATCGAACTTTTTTTATGTAAACATATTGTAAATGATCCGATCTTTAAAATAAAAAAAATCTCAATATCTAAAGTGGTTCATAAGTTATGGCGTGTTATGTGTAAAAAAGTTGAGTTTTTAAATTATCGCGATTACTGACGTTTTCTCGTTATAAAAAAAATGGACACCCTAACGATACCCTTATAATTCTAGATTTTATCTAGTTACCTTTTAGAAAAAAGGTCTTAAAAATAAGCGGTTTGCTATCGTGATTTTACTTTTGATAGAGAAAGGCGTACCGGCAACAACGCAACAACACACCGTCGCATTTCTCTCACTGATTTACTTCCACACATGTAAATACCGACCAAAAAGTAACAGTTGCCAGCACGGTAGAACGCTATAGGTAAGTTAAAATTAAAACATACGCGAAGCTCAAAACCCTTTCAAACATTAATTTTTATAATTTAAAATGCGATAAAATTGGGGTAGACAGTACTAGTCAGGTAACATTTACCTCAGTAGATTGAAACTAAGAAACAACGGCGAATGCAGATTCTGTTATTACATTACTGAGTGCGCCGAGACGACAACCATTCGTGTCATAAACTTTGGTCCGCCTGATATATCGGAGATGAACTAACCTCTGTAAAACTTTCTAAGATACTGGTTTTTGTCAAAGCTCCGAGACTGTCAAAGCCCCGAGACACAATAGACTATAAGGTCGCGGTGATCTCCCCTCCCATCCAAGATACAATCTACAATCACACTAGATAACGGTTAGTGATATATCTGACAGAAACGTTGTAAAATTTCAAAATCAAGGACAATGACATCCCAAGAAGATATTTTTCTATAACGAATAAAAATCTCCATGAGAATTTTGATATTAAATCAGCCAGAGAATTTTAATAAAATAATAATATATAAGAATCTATATCCTCCTCCTCCTTTCTATTCAACTCTATAAGAGTATAGGTGACATTATGATATCGCAATCTATATCCTCCTCCTCCTTTCTATTACTCTATAAGAGTATGGTGACATTATGATATCGCATTTATGATGTCTCTCCATGTTGTTCTGTCTTGCTGCAGCAGTACTGGCCTCGTGCAGACTATGACCTATTATTGTCTTCATTTGGTCCACCCAACGGTTTGGAGATCTCCCTCTAGGACGTTTCCCGTTCACTTTTCCCTCCACAATTAGTTTTTCTACGCCATTGGTGTTCCTGAATATGTGGCCAAAGTGTCTTAAGTATGACTGATTTATTGATATCAACAGTCTAGATTCGATATTCAGTTGTTTTAGTATAGAAATATTTGTTCGGTGAGCTGTGTACAGTATTCGCAGCATCCGTCTATAACACCACATTTCAAAAGCATCGATTTTACGTTTCATTGCCAACTTCAATGTCCAGGTCTCTGAGGCATAAGTGGCAATGGGGAAAATTAGGGCTATAAGAATTTTAAATTAAATCAAGAATCAGAATATACAGGGTGGTCCGAACTGTATTCCGGACATTTCAGCAGCATATTCTGCAGATAAAAATAAGTAAAAAAGTTCTTATAAATGTATGTCCTAAAATGCTTAGCTTCGGAGATACAGGGTGTAGAATTTTCATTTTTATTTCAATTTTTTCCAAATAATTTCTGAAGTAATATCAATATTTGGATGAAATATAGTGTCTGGGAGTTTTTTCATATGAGAAATTCGATTTTGATGTCAATATAATACGCTAGAGGGCGCCACCTACATATTTTTAACTGGTTTGAAGAGTAATAACTTTTCGTCCGTACCTGTATAAAACTACTAAGTAAAAAAATATACATTTACGACATTTTTAACGTAAAAAGATCTCTTGGTAAAAATCGCTACCGAGTAATAGTTCTCGAGATATTTAAAATCGAAATTATCAATACCTGTCTTCATTGACATAAATTATATAAACATGTTGACTAAATAGTTAATAGACGGAAATCATAAATTTGAAATGTTTTTTGTGCCAAACCATCATTAATCATCATTTTTATGGAAGAAAATTTTATGACTAACTTAAAAAAATAAAAATTTTCCAAATTTATCTTTTTAGTCAAATAACTATCCGAGTAACTATCTACTTAACATGTTTATTTTTTGTCAATAATGACATGTATTGACTATTCCCATTCTAAATATCTCGAGAAGGGTTGCTCGTAACGATTTTTATCAAGAGACATTTTTTACGTAAAAAAATGCGAAAATGTATATTTTTTCACTCAGCAGTTCTATACAGGTACGGACAAAAAGTTATTACTCTTCAAAACAGTTAAAACACATGTAGGTGGCGCCCTCTACAAAGAGGAGTCATAATGACATCAAAATCAAATTTCTCATGTCAAAAAACTAACGACCAGTTAAGACATCAATTTTCATCCAAATACTGACGATACTTCAGAAATTATTTGAAAAAAATCGAAATAAAAATGAAACTTCTACACGCTGTATCTCGAAACTAAGCATTTTAAGAACATACATTTATAAAAGTTATTTATAAGAAGTTTTTACTTCTTTTTATCTGCAGAATATGCTCAAAGTTTCGGAATACAATTCGAACCACCCTGGTGCCAGGGTGTTCCATTAAGGGAGGTCACCGGTCATATCTCGGGGAAACTACTGGGTATAGGAAGTCAGGAAAAAAATTCTTAAGACTAAAATGACCATGAGAAAATCCTGGAAATTATTTTAAGTTCCGCATTTTACCGCAAGAGGCGCAATTGGTAGGGTGAATAATACAATTCAAGTTTTCTCGAAAATTCTCATATTGAGCTATAACTTTAATAACATCGTTAGAAAGCCTGAAAAATTCCGCATAAATTCTCTCTGAGGCTCATTGGCGTACCGACCTTAATAAGGGTGGGGGAAGCTCTTGAACGTCTCAGTATTTAAAACTCTGTATCTTCTAAACGACTTATCCGATTTCAGCAAACTTAGGCTTGTTTGAAAGAGAAATGTACGTTTTCAAATACCCAATCCACTGCTACCAAATAGTTACAAATTAAATTGCTAGAGGGCGCAATTTCCAATAATAACAGTTTTTTTTTGATTTTGTCACGAAAATTTAAATCATACGGTATAATTTTGATGTCATATTCGGAAAGTAGATTAAATTTGCAACAAAAAACGTTTAGACCGCAATTCGATATCTTCATTCGTTTCAGAATTATTGCCGGAAGAATACTTTATAACGCTTTAATTAAAAAATTTCAGAATTATTGCCGGAAGAATACTTTATAACGCTTTAATTAAAAAAAAAAATGCTTGTTTCATAGTTTCGTGGTAGGTAAAAGCATTTCATGAAATTTTTGTCTAATTTTATGGTTGTTGAGGTTTCTCACTCTGTTTAGTGGCACAGGACCACTTTATAATTAAAACACCCATTAAAATCTTCTAATAAAGCCTGATTCTTATGCTGTCTTAAAAGTATTATTTGATCTAGATAGCTGTGGAAAACAATTTGTAGGTTTCCATGAGATTAATAAAGTGGAATAGGTAGCTGTCAACTGCTTTAGTTTTGACGTTGAGGAAAATTCGTCATTGATTCATTTAAAATTTCTTGTAATCTATTTTTTCAAAGTGTGTTCTACATCCCTTAAAAATGTCTTACACTAATGCCGAGGCCTACGACATGCTTGCCGTGCTTTCAGTGTTTCGAAAATGCTTGTATCGCAGCACGTGAATATGCTGCCAGATATCCCGAACGAAGGCACTATGGCAGAAGAGCTTTTCGACAACTAGCGATACGTTTAAGGCAGACAGGAAGTGTACGACCCATTTCAGTTCCTGTTAGAAGACGTCCGATAAGGAATGAAGACAATATCATAAATGTTCTTGCATACGTGGAAGCGAATCCGAATGTAAGCACAATGGAAATTTCCTTAGACCTAGGAATAAGTCGCACTACGGTATTCCGTATTTTTAAAAGACTTTAAACTACATCCTTACCATGTGGTGTTACACCAGGCTCTATCAGAAGATGATTATGACCCAGGCGGCTCAACTATTGTCACTGGTTAAGCGAGATGTGCAATGAAAATCATCAATTCACTCTTCTTGGTTTATGGCTCAACTATTGTCACTGGTTAAGCGAGATGTGCAATGAAAATCATCAATTCCTCTTCTTAGGGTTTTATGGACTGATGAAGCCAGTTTTAGTAGCTGTGGCAGGGTCAATTTGCACAATATGCATTATTGGTCACAAACTAATCCGCATTGGATGCGCGAAGTGGATCACCAAAATAGGTGGAGTGTAAACGTGTGGTGAGGTGTTTTAGAGCATAGAATTATCGGACCATTTATTTTTGATCATCTAAATGGTGAATCATATTTAAACTTTTTAAGAAATGACTTACCTATCCTTTTGGAAGATGTTCCCATTGACTTAAGATTATCCATGTGGTATCAACATGACGGCTGCCCTGCGCACTTTTCACAAAGGGTCCGTGACTTTTTAAATGTTAAGTACCCGAATCGCTGGATAGGTATGGGTAGTTTGTTTCAGTGGCCACCAAGGTCCCCATGGATTTAACTGTGTTAGATTTTTACTTGTGGGGCCGAATAAAAGACATTGTTTATAAAATACGACCAACCACACGGGACGACATGATTGGACGAATTACAAACGCTGTAAATTCGATTTCACGAGCTGAAATTGAAACAGCTGTTTACAAATCTAGGACAAATATTAATAGTTGTATGTTGCAAAATGGTGGTCATTTTGAACATTTATAATAGTCTTTCTATTGCTTCCTTAAAAACTTTAATACTGGTATTATTGTTATTTTGTTGTGGCCCGTTGGCGCTTTAAGCACGCTCAAATTTTGCCTTTTACATGATTTGGACTAGTCCTAAATCCTAAGCCTAGGTAAAGGTGCGAAGGGAGGCACGGAATATGACTAATGAAAACTAATTGTTATCAATTCAAAGTTTAACCTTACGAAACTATGAAACAACCATTTCTTAAATTAAAGCGTTATAAAGTATTCTTCCGGCAATAATTCTGAAACGAATGAAGATATCGAATTGCGGTCTAAACGTTTTTTGTTGCAAATTTAATCTACTTTCCGAATATGACATCAAAATTATACCGTATGATTTAAATTTTCGTGACAAAATCAAAAAAAAACTGTTATTATTGGAAATTGCGCCCTCTAGCAATTTAATTTGTAACTATTTGGTAGCAGTGGATTGGGTATTTGAAAACGTACATTTCTCTTTCAAACAAGCCTAAGTTTGCTGAAATCGGATAAGTCGTTTAGAAGATACAGAGTTTTAAATACTGAGACGTTCAAGAGCTTCCCCCACCCTTATTAAGGTCGGTACGCCAATGAGCCTCAGAGAGAATTTATGCGGAATTTTTCAGGCTTTCTAACGATGTTATTAAAGTTATAGCTCAATATGAGAATTTTCGAGAAAACTTGAATTGTATTATTCACCCTACCAATTGCGCCTCTTGCGGTAAAATGCGGAACTTAAAAATAATTTCCAGGATTTTCTCATGGTCATTTTAGTCTTAAGAATTTTTTTCCTGACTTCCTATACCCAGTAGTTTCCGAGATATGGCCGGTGACCTCCCTTAATGGAACACCCTGTATATTAATTTATAGGTTAGGAAAAACTTAGGGAATTTTTCTGCGAACATTTTATTTTTGGGGAGCAAAAAGAAAATGTTTGAATGTAAGTACGTAGCTGAAATCACTTAAATTTATAAACAACATTTGGTGGGAGTTTTCTGTTTAGTGCTATTTTTGTAACAATTATCAAAGAACTAAAGATATGAGTTTCATATATTCTAAAGTTGTGAAAAAATTAAGTGTATTAATCGTAAGATATAGCAAGTTATATTTGATATCAATTAAACTTTTGGTTACGTAATCGAGGGCGCGATTTTTAAATTCATTGTTGCCAACCATGGACATAATTCGGTGCCGGGCTGACTAACTGGAATTTAAATTTCCCGCAGGGGATTCAGGTGGTAGCTCTTCTGTAAAAAATGTGAAGTTGCCGCATTTATTTATTTATTTCCTGACATTGTCATTTGTGGTTTTGATACTCTTTAATTTTTGGTTTAAATAAATAGTGTTATGATACTTTAAGCTTAAAAATGTTTACTAGTAGACCTTGCAGTCGAACATTGCTCTTTTTAGAACCTCTTTTAGTGCGAAGTGTACAGTGTGTCCCATTTTGGTTGAAATCATAGGGTATCTCCGTTATTAGTGAAGATAGAAGGGTGCTGTTTGCACAAACCTGTCCCACTTTTCGTCAAACGGAAGATGCTGCAAACAAAATTTTCATAGCCCTCTTTCATTTCTGAGCTACAGGGTCTTTTCAAAAAATTTGCAACTTGGGACACCCCTGTATCTCTGTTATTGTAAAGGTTTCGAGAAGGCGAAAACTGCTTATTGTAGAACTTTTTACGTAGAACACAGTGGCGTAGTATGTTTCTTTACGAAAAAAGTATTTTTGAAAATATGAACTAAAGTTATGTTTTTTTCAAACGAAACACCCTGTATATTAATAAATCATATTATCCGCCTTGCTATGAGCTTCTCAAAAATATATATCACTCTATATTTATTTTCATTATTTACTGCAATATTTAAAATATATCATTTTCTTATTAGTAGGCCGTGATAAATAACAAAAAATCAAAATGGTATTTACTAAAATAGTCGTACACATATTAAAATTTTATTTGGAATTGATATATTTTACTTTCGAAATAACTGTTACCACTGAAACTGTGAATATATTTTTCTTTTTTTATAACGGGATGGGTTTGCAAATATCTAAATCTTGAATTATTAAAGCATTTTTCAGGTGTTCGAAATTGTTGTAGTGCCCACGATATATTTCGTATTTCGAAAATCCTCAAAATCAGAAATCGAGAACGACGAAATCCGGGAATCGAGGAGGCTATCAATATGTGTTCATTGGTTCCAATTCATTGATTTGAAAAATAATAATTTAACAGTATTCTAATATTTCCATAGTTATGTGGGGGAATGTTCCCCATCTTGCTGAAAGTATATTTGACGTAAATTAGCTAAAGGAATATCTAAAATTTCCGATACGATAGATTAGTCTTACGTATACACGTATTCCAAGATTTACAAATAGCGGTAGAGACTTAAGTTTCCCTAATATATAAAGAATTTATTAGCGGCTCCCAAAATAAAACAAAAGACAGATAGCAGTATACTTTTAATAATTCTTTAGATTCTTTTATTATCAATCACGGCCTACTAATAAATATGATCTTTTAATAAAAACTTTTAAATATTGCAGTAAATAGTGAAAATAAATATAGAGTAATATATATTTTTGAGAAGCTTAGGGCAAGACAGATCATATGATTTATAAATATACAGGGTGTTCCATTTAAAAAAACATAACTTTAGTTCATATTTTCAAAAAAATTTTTTTGGGAGAAAAACAGACTACGCCACTGTATTCTACGTAAAAAGTTCTACAATAAACAGTTTTCACCTTCTCGATAGCTTTAACAATAACAGAGATACAGGAGGTGTCCCAAATTGCAAAATTTTCAAAAAGACCCTGTAGCTCGGAAACGAAGAGGGCTATGAAAATTTAGTTTACGGCATCTTCCGTTTGACAAAAAAGTGAGACAGGTTTGTGCAAACCGCACCCTTATATCTTCACTAATAACGGAGATACTGTATGATTTCAACCAAAATGGGACACCCTGTACAAGATAGCTTAATAGTCGTAAAAACTCATCGCCACTTTATTAGATTATTTTGGATAGGAAAGCGGTAGTAATGGCCCTTTATGTCCCTTAAGTGCTGTTAAGAAGGTGAGTTTTGTTGATGTAAATAATAACTGTTTATATATTTATAATTAATTTATTTTTGTTTCCTAAAATATTTTGATTAAAAGAAAATATATGAAAGCGGGCAACGCTGTGCTGGTCAAGCTTAATTACGTGACTAATGCCCACTTGCACCGTTTGTATAAACTTTGTTTAAAGGCTAAACAATGATTAACTATAATAAAATATGTATAGTTAATCACTGTTTAGCCTGTAAACAAAGTTTATACAAACGGTGCAAGTGGGCATAAGAGTTTATTTGGTATGAACTGCATTTAGGACAGGAAGAAAATATGGATAGATTATTCTTTTCACATATGCATGCAAATGTAACTCTATTTCTTGCAATTTACTCGTTTTCGTTATATTGCATATTTATCTAATAAAACATTTATTCTTATTAGACAATGATATTTTTTTTATATGTTGAAAATTGAGGAGTACTGAAGTATTAATAGAAGCTTTTTTAACATTTTTTGCTAAGTTTTTATATTCCATGTGATAAAAAATTGGCATTTTAATTATAAATCCACTGAACTCCAATTAAAACCTTCTACAATGTACCCCGAGGCAATTAATTCTAAGTTGAAAATTTGGTCACGCATTTTTTCCTCCTTTGCTATTTCATTTAGAATTCGAATGCTTCAATAACTGAGTTTTTAGGGGATATATTCCGGTTTAATAAAAAGCGTTGGGGCTAATGGAAAATCAATCATTCAGATTTTTTCACCTCCGTTCCATTTTTAAAGTTTACATTTAGTGGAGCTTAATTTGCATAGTATTTCGAAAAAAAAGATCGATCTGATTGGTAATACCACGTGCTGGCCATTTTATTTCACAAAGTTTTTTCAATTTATATGATTAATAAAACTAGGATATAATATATATAATATAATAATAATTTGACCTCGCCGCTGGTCAAATTATTATAGCGGCGAAGCTCCCATTGATGCGGATAATACGTTTTTATTTAAAAAAGTCACTGAGCTTTCCTATAATAAATTAAAATTCTCAGTAAATTTATTCAAATAATTAAATCCAACTCTCCCAACCAATCTCCAAATCAAATTCAATTATTTAATATGTGTATTGGTCGAGCTTTAGAGCTCGAACACACTGACGGCCAGGTCGCACAGGCCAGGCCGCTGCTACCTCTAAAACCATTAAATCAAATGATACGGCGCACACTAACGTCCTGGCCGTCGCACAGTGCTTCGTCCCATGGACAAAAATCAAAAAATAAGTTAAAATTTACTAATATCTGAATATATAATTTTATACCTATAGCAATGTTCAACCATCCTGTATATTATTTTTCATAAACAGCGTTTTTGTTAGCAAATATTTTCACTAAAAATAAATTTTGCGATCATTATCTCATCAGTGAAAAAGAATAACATTCATAGTAGTTCTGTATATCATGGAGTTAAACGGTACGTACTTAATTGAAAGCCACTATGGATATTGTTAAACAAGGTATGTACTTTAAATTTATTTCTAAACAAGTTCGTGATTGTTTAGTTTTTATTTATTTTTTAAGATGATTCTTAAATGGGTATAAAAA